GTGTTCGTTCTCGCTGAGTTTTCCAGGAAGGCTGCTACCAGGTCAACTGTCCTTTGCTGAATTTGGAACTTCATCCAGGACAGAGGCCCACTCCTGAGAATCACAGCTGACGGCCACACCCCACGGATGCTGTCACCGCGCCCATCCCAGCCTCAGCCCGAACGCGTCACTCTCAATGTCAGAGTGAGCCCACTCACAGGGATAAGGGACTGACGACTATACTCTTCCTTCCCCAGTGCCGCTGCCTGAGAGTCCACACACTCAAATGCACAATTTGTTAACATTGCTACCTTTTCTCTTCTATTCCTGTATGGTCAATGGACTTTTTGTTTTATTTTGAGACGGAGTCTTGCTCTGTCGCTCAGGCTGGAGTGCAGTGGCATCATCTCAGCTCACTGCAACCTCCGCCTGCCAGGTTCAAGCAATTCTCCTGCCTCAGCCTCCCTAGTAGCCGGGAGTACAGGCACCCGCCACCACACCCAGCTAATTTTTAATTTTTTTTGAGATGGAGTCTTGTTCTGTCACCCAGGCTGGAGTGCAGTGGCATCATCTCAGCTCACTGCAACCTCCGCCTCCTGGGTTCACGCCATTCTCCTGCTGCAGCCTCCCAAGTAGCTGGGACTACTGGCGCCCGCCACCATGCCCAGCTAATTTTTTGTATTTTTTAGTAGAGGTGTGGTTTCACCGTGTCAGCCAGGATGGTCTCAATCTCCTGACCTCGTGAGCCACCCGCCTCGGCCTCCCAAAGTGCTGGGATTACAGGCGTGAGCCACTGCGCACAGCCTGCCTGGCTAATTTTTGTATTTTTAGTCGAGACGGGGTTTCACCATGGTGGCCAGGCTGGTCTCGAACTCCTGACCTCGGGTGATCCACCCATCTCAGTCTCCCAAAGCACTGAGATTATAGGCATAAGCCACCGCGTCCTGCCAGTAAATGGGTTTTTAAAGCTAGGCTTGTATACAGGTTGTATTCTCTCTAAATATCATTGCAAGAAAGCAAAGGAAGCATTTAGAGGAGCTCCGTTATGAACAGGGGGCTGAGATGCCTGGCCCCACCCAGGCCCCATGCCCAGGCTCAGTGTAGTGTGGCCACACAGACTCACGGTGTCAGCAATGCCACAGGTAGGCAGCCTGGCAACGTAAGCCTAATATCACCACCTCAATCTGGAACAGAAGCCTCCCACACCAGATACTCCGGGAACTGCGGGTCCCAGCACCTGAGGCGTTGCTGGGGCGGTTTTCCAGATACCACCAGCCCCACCTGAACCCGAGTGGAGCTGCCACCCAACTGAGGCTGCCACCCGAGTGAGGCTGCCACGAAGCAGAGGTCCCACAGCAGGAGCCGCTGCAGATGAGGGGCCGCGATCCACAGGGCGGGCTCTGGAGGCTGCTCCTCTGAGCCTGGCCCGGGTCAAGGCCGAGTGCTGTCAATAGCAGAGGCAACTGGCACAGCAGGTGAATCCGAGCGAGGCCCATGAAGGCAACTTGACCTCAGGTCCTAACCACAAGACACGAAACTGTGGCTGCCACCCGCTCGACAGAACCCCACCCATCTAGGGCAGCCACAGCTCTGGGTCCCCAGCCGGGAAAGGAAATCGGCCTCAGGAGCAGGAGCCCGCGGGGAGCCAGCGCAAGCACCTGGGGGCCATCCTGTCCCCTCCCTCAAACCCAAGAGCAACATGGGAAGGAAGCAGGCATGCGGGAAGCCCCTCGAGGCCAACGGCTCCTGCCCCTTTCCAGGAATCGTAAAGGCACAGGAGCACAACCAAAATGAACACGGCCATGCTGACAGGCACCAACAGGCTTTTCTTTTTTTGAGATAGGGTCTTGCTCTGTCACCCAGGCTGGAGTGCAGTGACACAATCTCAACTCACTGCAGCTTCGACCTCCCAGGCTCAAGCAATCCTCCCACCTCAGCCTCCCGAGCAGCTGAGACTATAGGTATGCAACACCACACCTGGCTAATTTTTTGTATTTTTTGTAGAGACGGGTCTCACTATGTTGCCCAGTCTGGTCTCAAACTCCCAAGCTCAGGCGACCCTCCCACCTTGGCCTCCTGAAGTGCTGGGATTATAAGGGTGAGCCACCACACCTGGCCCCAGTAGGCTTTTCTTACTGAGGGATCTCCTGAGACAGGGCCTTGCTCTGCTACCCAGGCTGGAGTGCAGTGGCCAGATCATGGTTTACTGCAGCCTTGACCTCCTGGGCTCAAGTGATCCCCGTGTCTCAGCCTCCCCGAGTAGCTGGGACTACAGGTACATATCACCTTGCCCTGCTAATTTTTGCATGTTTTGGTAGAAACAGGGTCTCACTATGTTGCCCAGGCTAGTCATGAACCCCTGGGCTTGTCAAGCGATCCTCCTGCTGATCCTCGGCCTCCCAAAGTGCTGGGACTCCAGACGCGAGCCACCGCTCACCCAGCCTCCTGAGGCATCCTAACGGGAGACATGCACGAGTTCGTGTGAAGCCCGATGGGGTGACTCCCTTACCTGCACCCACCTGCCCAGGGCTGGGATGTACCGGGGCCAGCCCAGCACCCCTGGGACATTCTCAACTGGGGACTTTGCTTTTCTGTAGAGGATGAGAATGGAAACACAGAGCCCCAGTGCACCCTGTCCAGGGCCGTGCTTTAAGTTTAATGTGCACAGGAAGGCTGTAGCTCCAGGGCCCGGCACAGCTTCAGGATGGGGCAATTTCACAGTGTGGGAGCACAGCAGGAAAGAAAACAGACAGGAGACCTATGAACTATGTACTTTGAATTTGCAGAATAAAAGATTTAGTTGTCATTCGAAAAACAAAACACAGGCCGGGCGTGGTGACTCATGCCTGTAATCCCACCACTTTGGGAGGCTGAGGCAGGCGGATCATGAAGTCAGGAGTTCCAGACCAGCAAGGCCAACATGGTGAAACCCTGTCTCTACTAAAAATACAAAAATTAGCTGGCTGTGGTGGCGTACGCCTGTAATCCCAGCTACTCAAGAGGCTGAGGCAGGAGAACTGCTTGAACTCAAGAGGCAGAGGTTGCAGTGAGCTGAGATCGCGCCACTGCACTCCAGCCTGGGAGACTGAGAGACTCCGTCTCAGGAAAAAAAGAAAAAAACAAAAAAAACAAAACAAAACAAAACACAGGCCAGGCGTGGTGACTCACGCCTGTAATCCAGCACTTTGGGAGGCTGAGGCAGGCAGATGATGAGGTCAGGAGTTCGAGACCAGCAAGACCAACATGGTGAAATGCTGTCTCTACTAAAAATACAAAAATTAGCTGACTGTGGTGGCACCCGCCTGTAGTCTTAGCTACTCAGGAGGCTGAGGCAGGAGAACTGCTTGAACTCAGGAGGCAGAGGTAGAAGTAAGCTGAGATCGCGCCACTGCACTCCAGCCTGTGAGACAGAGAGACTCCGTCTCAGGAAAAAAAGAAAAAAAAAAAAGAAAGAAACACAGGCCAGGCGCGGTGGCTCATGCCTGTAATCCCAGCACTTCGGAAGGCAGAGGTGGGTGGATCACTTGAGGCCAGGAGTTCGAGACCAGCCTGGCCAACATGGCGAAACCCTGTCTCTACTAAAAATACAAAACTTAGTGAGCATAGTGGCGGGTGCCTATAATCCAAGCTACTGGGGAGGCTGAGGCAGGAGAATTGCTTGAGCCCAGGGGGTGGAGGTTGCAGTAAGTCAAGATCGCGCCACTTCACTCTAGCCTGGGCAAACAGTGAGACTCCATCTCAAAAAAAAAAAGAAAAAAAATTAGACGTTGTGGCATGCATCTGTAATCCCAGCTACTCGGGATGGTGAGGTTCAATAATCACTTGAACCTGAGAGGTGGAGGTTGCAGTAAGCCAAGATCAAGTTACTGCACTCCAGCCTGGGCAACAGAGTGAGATTGTCTCAAAAAAAAACCCATCTCTACCAAAAATACAAAAAACTAGCCGGGCGAGGTGGCGGGCGCCTGTAGTCCCAGCTACTTGGGAGGCTGACGCAGGAGAATGGCGTGAACCCGGGAGGTGGAGTTTGCAGTGAGCCGAGATCACACCACTGCACTTCAGCCTGGGCGACAGAGCAAGACTCCGTCTCAAAAAAAAAAAAAGAAGTGAGATTCCTGGGCTGGGCGCACTGGCTCACGCCTATAATCCCAGCACTTTGGGAGGCCAAGGTGGGCAGATCACGAGGTCAGGAGATCAAGACCATCCTGGCTAACACGGTGAAACCCCGTCTCTACTAAAAATACAAAAAACTAGCTGGGCATGGTGGCAGGCGCCTGTAGTCCCAGCTACTCGGGACTAGGCAGGAGAATGGCGTGAACCCGGGAGGTGGAGCTTGCAGTGAGCCCGTATCGCACCACGGCACTCCAGCCTGGGCGACAAAGCAAGATTCTGTCTCAAAAAAAAAAAAAAAAAAAAAGAAGTGAGATTCGCAACTTTTGAAAAGCATTTTTGGTATTTCTGCCCAAAGAGTTTAAACTAACTTTAGTTTTAAATCTAGACCTCAAAAACAAGGAAGAGACCTAGACGTGGGAAGAGAAACATTTTCTGAAAACACTCTTACTGAGCTAAAATGCAGCCAGAGCTCTGCTAAGGTGCCCACACCAGTGGGCAGGGAAGGGAAGAGGAGGGGCTGGTTCAGAAGAGAAGTTCAAAACAAACAGCTCAGAACTGACTGCTTCCAACAACAACGAGCAGGCTTCACAACAAACAAAACTCATTTTCTCATTTTAAGACACAAGTAATGGTAACGTTTTTTAAAACAAAAAAAAAGGAGGAGGCCAGAGGCAGGCAGGGGTTGCCGTGCTTAGGCCCAGCACCTGTGTCCCGGGAATATGGGCTCAGCTCCAGTCCCTTAAATCCAATACAACACGAGGCTTTGCCCACTAAACAACGCCACAAGACCGCCCACATGCTGCAGTGGCCCCGGCGCCCACCCTGGGTGGGAGCAGCGAACACGGAGCCGTGGTGATGCAGCCTCCCAGGGACGCATGGGTTGCTTCTGCGGCACCAAGAAAAGACCAAGATAGGAAATAGGAAAAGGGATTTTATTAAAGAAAAGTCATCTGTGAGTGACTAAAGTAGCATGCTTGACGTTAACACTCTGGGTTGAAACCTACCTCCGTCAAATAACACGTGGACTCTCCAAGCAAACGTCTACGGGGCAATTCAAGCAGCAACTCAAGAGCCCAGAGGAGCACTGGAGAGGAGGCCATCACTCCACTTCCCAGCACGACAACCACTTTTTTGTAAACACCTGGCAGATGCTAAAAACACGGCTTTACACACGACCGTCACCGAAGTTTATAAGCAATAAGATCAGAGAGCGGGAGCAGCCGCGGCGCCTCTAACAGTCCAGGGCCGAGGTGCTGAAGGTGAGTTTCAGGTGAGGTCCGCTCTGCCCAGTCTCGGGCCGCGCCAGGGGGCTGCTGTGGCCGGACAGCCGAGTGGAACGGCGCCACCTACGTGCGATTTAGTGTCTGGAAGATTCTAGAGATCTGCAGCATGACGGGACCCGTTTCTGGATCATTCATCCACTGGGTGCTGTTCAGCGGGTTCTCTAGCATGTCTTCAAATGCTGCGGGGAAAACAGAGCCAGCCTGAGTGCCCGTGCCCCCACTCAGCCGACAGGCACAGGCGTGACTTTCCTCTTCGGCAGCTTCCTCACAAAGAGGGTGTGTCTCCAATACAAAGGCCACACAGAGCTCACTGCTAAGTGTGCACTCCCGGGCTGAAACCCACCCAGCTCTGTCAGATGCACCCATCAAATCAGATCTGATCACAAACAATCATGCACTCAATTCTGGCAGGTGGGCAGCATGCCTGTGCATGCTCATGGCACCCACACTCTGGGCAGCCGCCAGGGCTCAAAAATCATCTCCCCCAACAACTCCACTTCCAATCCCACCCCGAGAAGGTCAGCAGATGCAGAAAGGACACACAAAGACACCGTTGCAAAGTTAACAACAAACTGGAAAAACGTAATGCTCAGCCTTAAGAAAATTACTTCTTTAAAAAACCAGCGCGTTTAAAATGCAACACAGCACTTCTTCAAAACGAAAACTTGGGTTTTAACAGCTTTACAAAACTGTTTCCCCCAAACAGGTGGATTTTAGCAAACAGCTCTCCACTCTACCCACTGTGAAGGAGCACACGTTCTGCTGGCTGCCGGCCCCTCTGCAGAATCGATGGCTCCGTGTTGACCTGACACACACGGATGCGCTTCAGCATAAGTGGCCCCAGGTCTACAGGCTCCAGGGACAGTGCTCACTATAGGAGTTCACAGCCATTCACGGCCCAGTAGCCCGTGGCTGAGCACAGAGCTCAGAGTGAACCCGACTTGGCTCTGTTCGCGATCGGAAACAGCTCCCAGGCCCTGACACAATCTCTGGTGTTCTGATTAAAAGTCCCCAAAAACCACTTTAAAATCTCTGAAAAAGCCAGGCGTGGTGGCTCATGCCTGTAATCCCAGCACTTTGGGAGGCCAAGGTGGGCGGATCACAAGGTCAGGAGATCGAGACCATCCTGGCTAACACGGTGAAACCCCGTCTCTACTAAAAAAAATACAAAAAACTAGCCGGGCGCGGTGGCGGCGCCTGCAGTCCCAGCTCCTCGGGAGGCTGAGGCAGGAGAATGGCGTGAACTCGGGAGGCGGAGCTTGCAGTGAGCTGAGATCCGGCCACTGCACTCCAGCCTGGGCGACAGAGCGAGACTCTGTCTCAAAAAAAAAAAAGAAAAAAGTCCCCAAAAACCACTTTAAAATCTCTGAAAAAGCCAGGTGTGGTGGCTCACGCCTGTAATCCCAGCACTTTGGGAGGCCAAGGCGGGTGGATCACAAGGTCAGGAGATCGAGACCATCCTGGCTAACACGGTGAAACCCCATCTCTACTAAAAATATAAAAAATCAGCCAGGCATGGTGGCAGGTGCCTATAGTCCCAAGCTACTCAGGAGGGTGAGGCAGGAGAATGGCATGAACCTGGAAGGCGGAGCTTGCAGTGAGTCACGATCGTGCCACTGTACTCCACCCTGGGTGACAGAGCGAGACTCCATCTCAAAAAAAAAAAAAAAAAAAAAATCTCAGAAAAAGTCCCAGAAAGACAATGACAACCTGATGTCTACAAGAACAAACTATAAGGTACGAAACAGCTGTTTCACACGCAGGGTGGGGAACTTAATTTCCCATTTCCTCTCAAAAACAGCAAAATAAATTCTGGAAGGATGAAAGAGTTGAACAAAAAGATAAAGAGTTAAATATGAAAAACCACACAGATGATTATTTACCTGAGAATTTAATTTTTTTGGAGACAACGACTTGCTTTGTTGCCCAGGCCGGAGTGCAGTGGAGTGATCACAGCTCACTGCAGTCTTGAACTCCTGGACTCAATGATCCTCCCACCTCAGTCCCCTGAGTAGCAGGGACTACAGGCACATGTGCCACCACTCCTGGCTGATTTTGCTTTTTTGTTTGTTTGCTTTTTTTTAGTAGAGAGGAGGTCCTGCTATGTTACCCAGACTGGTCTTGAACTCCTGAGCTCAAGTGATCCTCTTGCCTCAGCCTCCCAAAGTGCTACGGCTACAGGCATGAGCCACCATGCCCAACCTGAGGAAGGTCTCCACACCTGGCTTTTTCAGAGATTTTAAAGTGGTTTTGGGGGACTTTTTTCTTTTTTTTTTTGAGACAGAGTCTTGCTCTGTCGCCCAGGCTGGAGTGCAGTGGCCGGATCTCAGCTCACTGCAAGCTCCGCCTCCCGGGTTTACGCCATTCTCCTGCCTCGGCCTCCCGAGTAGCTGGGACTACAGGCGCCGCCACTGCGCCCGGCTAGTTTTTTGTATTTTTTTAGTAGAGATGGGGTTTCACTTTCTTCTCTATATCCTAACTTCTGTATGTCAGAAAATGCCACACAAAATTAGAGAGCAAAAACTGTTTACAACACGCAACAAAGGCAGATGTGCTTAACATCCAAGAAGCTATTAAGGAAGCTCCAGGATTAATATTGCAATAGAAAAATAGATGCGCCGGGTACAATGGCTCATGCCTGTAATCCCAGCACTCTAGAAGGCAGAGGTGGGAGGCTTGCTTGAAGCCAGGAGTTCAATACTAGCCTGAGCAAAAAAAACGAGATCCCATCTCAACAATAACAAAAAATTAGCTGGGTATGGTCGTGTGTGCCTGTAGTCATAACTACCCAGGAGGATGACTTGAGCCCAGGAGGTCAAGGCTGCCGTGAGCTGTGATTGCACCACTGCACTCCAGCCTGGGTGACAGAGCAAGACCCCGTCTCCAAAAAAAGAAAGAAAACAAATAGATGACATACATAGACAATATGTAAAAGAAGAAATGCAACGGCCAACAGAAAAGTATTCAATATTGCTAATACCAAAAAGAATACAAGTTAAAACAATGGACGTCTTGTCTATGATACGGAGGTGGGCAAGTGTGTGTGCTAGGGGCAGATCTTGCATGGACAGTGGCGCCATCACTGCACTCTAGCCTGGGTGACAGAGAAAGAGTCTATTTCTATTAGGAAAAAAAAAAAAGTTCTTGGACGGACCCCAAGGCAGCACACACTAATATCCTAAGGTATACAAACAGCTGGAGAGCTAGGAGGAATATGCTTTCAGTGCGAAAGGAATCACTAAGAATAAAAATAAACTCACAAAAGTCCATTCTCAAGTTTTAGAATTTGGGTACAAAGAAGATCCCTACCTTACACCACACACATACTTCTAGGTAGATTATGGACTTAAATAAGAGAAACTTTTAAAATATTTGGAAAAAAAATTTTAAAAAGGAAAACGTGTTTCTGACTTTGGGATAGGAGGGTTTTCTTTTTTCTTTTTTTTTTTGAGATGGAGTCTCGCTCTGTCGCCCAGGCTGGAGTGCAGTGGCACGATCTCGACTCACTGCAACCTCCGCCCCCCAGGTTTGAACAATTCTGTGCCTCAGCTCCAGAGTAGCTGGGATTACAGGCGCATGCCACCACAGCCAGCTAATATTTTGTATTTTTAGTAGAGACAGGGTTTCACGATCTTGGCCAGGCTGGTCTTGAACTCCTGATCTCGTGATCCACCTGCCTCCGTCTCCCAAAGTGCTGGGATTACAGGCACGAGCCACCACACCCCGCCATGGAAGGTTTTCTTTAAAGGTTCACATCCTAAAAAAAACCACCCTGAAGGACATCAAAACATGGGATTCTGCCCATCAGCATGAGTAAATAAGCCAGAAACTGAACAATGGCATCTGCAGCACAAATAAATGGGAAAAGGGTCAGCATCCAGGAGGTGAGGACCTTTCTGAATGAATAAGAAAACAATCTGGGCCCGGCGCGGTGGCTCACGCCTGTAATCCCAGCACTTTGGGAGGCCAAGACGGGCGGATCACAAGGTCAGGAGATCGAGACCGATCCCGTCTCTACTAAGAAATACAAAAAACTAGCCGGGCGAGGTGGCGGGCGCCTGTAGTCCCAGCTACTCGGGAGGCTGAGGCCGGAGAATAGCGTAAACCCGGGAGGCAGCGCTTGCAGTCAGCTGAGATCCGGCCACTGCACTCCAGCCTGGGCGACAGAGCGAGACTCCATCTCAAAAAAAGAAAAAAAAAAGAAAACAATCCAAGAGAAAAGAAGGCCAAACGCTGAGCAGAAGGTCTCTCACGGCCGAGGTTCTACAGACGGCCAATACACTTCTGAAAGAAGGCCAGCCTTCAAGATCAGGGCATGGCCATCACAGCTTCCAGAGACACTTCCAGCCTGCTTCGGTGGCAAAGGCCCTCCCAACATCCCGGAACTCGGCTCCTGGGGACCAACAGGTCTGTAATCCCAGCACTTTGGGAGGCCAAGGCGGGTGGATCATGAGGTCAAGAGTTCGAGACCAGCCTGGCCAACATGGTGAAACCCGTCTCTACTAAAATACAAAAAATTAGCCAGGCATGGTAATGCACGCCTATAATACCAGGTTCTCAGGAGGCTGAGGCAGGAGAATTGCTTGAACCTGGGAGGCAGAGGTTGCAGTGAGCCGAGATCACGCCATTGCACTCCAGCCTGGGTGACAGGGTGAGGTGCTGTCTCAAAAAATAAAAAAAAGGGGGGGAACATCGCGAGTGGCACCACATGCAGACAACCCAATGACCCCTGGATTCCCGGTGCCTTCCATCAACAAAATACTCCACAACCCCCACAAAGAACACAGTCAGTCAGTCACAGAGGCCTGCTTAAAATGTGATTCTACTTACACAAAGGCAGTAACAAATGAGAGATTGTTTGAGGAGACACAAATACGGCAAAACTCTACAGGGAAGCAGAGAGGTAAGCCGCGGCCACGGCGACGGCCAGGCTGGAGGGAGGGATGAGGTGCGTAGGGGAGGGGCACCCCAGGCCCAGAGCTGAATGGCAGATACACGGCTATTAGTTTTATCCTTCTTTAAAGTTACAACATCATATACACTTTTGCATGTAGGTATCTGACAATAAAAATAAACAACTGCCATCGAAGACCCTGAGGAACAGTAAGAGCAAAAGCCCACGCCACGCCTTGTTCTCATGTGAGTTCCTAAGCTGCTGGTGTGGTCTCCACCCCGCTGGCCCTCGGAAAGCCACTGGCACTGGTTTTCTGAAGCCTGTGTCAGAGTCATCGTGCAGGAGACAGTCACACCACGATCAGAACCTGACCTGTGGGCTCCATGGTGACGTAGCAGAGCTACACCCGCAGGATGCCAACCTGCATGGCAGGACGTGCTGCCAGCGCATGGCGATCCTCAGCGCTGGATCCTCCGCGTCGCCTCTACAGCACCTGCACGTCCTACGAGGGAACCAGCCAGCCTCCCCGACCCGCGACTTAACGTAAAGAAGGCGCACATACCTAGCAATGTTTTGGGGTTGGTCAGGCCCAGCTGCACCACCGGGTTATCCAGGATCGCCTGAAAGAGAGGACTGTCGGGGTCGATGCCCTTGTCCAGCTCCTCCGGAGAGGGCTTCCGGTCCCCCAGCAGCCACTCGCACTGCAAAGCCAGAGCACCAATGCCACTGTTAGCGCCTTCAGTGCCTCTGCAAGACGCCACCCGCAGCAGGCACAACGGCTCCTGCACCTTTCTATTGAGCCCCCGAGGCTGATCTCACTGGAAGGGACCCTACCATGAAGACAAGCCCAGTCTGGATTCACTGCTGTGCATGTCAGACCAGGCCAGACTGAGAAAGAAGAGCTAGTCTGCTTTTCTCTGCAGACGCTGGCATTGCCCAGCTTGCCTGTGGTCCTGTTATGGGCAGTCAGTAGTGCTGGAGCCATGAGGACACAGGCTCCTCATCTCTGTCTTGGAGGTGTGAGCCACCAACTCCACTGGCAGGAGGGATGGTGGGGGGTGTCAGCCACCACAGGGCCCTCCCCAGGCACAGCTCCATCAGCCCAGCTGGCACACGGGCACAGGACAGGAATCATTCTTCGAGTCAGTTTAATCAGATAAATGGGCTGGGTGTGGTGGCTCATGCATGTAATCCCAGCACTTCAGAAGCCAAAGCAGGAGGATCAATCGAAGCCAGGAATTCAAGATCGGCCTGGGCAACAAAGGGAGATCTCGTCTCTAAAAAAATAAAATCAATTAGCCGGGCATGGTGGTGCATGCCTGTGGTCCCAGCTACTCAGGAGGCTGAGGCGGGAGGATTGCTTGAGCCCAGGAGGTCGAGGCTGCAGTGAGTGTGATCACACTGCTGCATTCCAGCCTGGGGGACAGAGTGAGACCCTGACTCCAAAAAAATTAAAAAAAAAAAAAGATAAATGAACAAATTACCCATCCATAAAATATGTACATATAAGGCACCCTTTTAAAAAGACAAAGCCTAGAATTCTGTATTTTTACATTTTTATACTGTTTGTGCCATCTATCCTATCGTCTCACTTAAAGAGCCACATAGCCAGCTGCATGTGAAAGTAGGGAAACACACGGCCTCTACCATGCCCGGAGCACTCATGAGTGAGGCTCCCAGCATTCACCCAGCCTGACACTCACTCACTACAGTCCAACACTCACCACAGCCCGACACTCACTCACTACAGTCGACACTCACTACAGCCCAACATTCACCACAGCCTGACACTCACTCACTACAGTCGACACTCACTACAGCCCAACATTCACCACAGCCCAACACTCACTCACTACAGTCGACACTCACCCACTACAGCCCAACACTCCCACACAGCCCGGCCTGACCCCAGCATCCTGTCTCCTCCTGAGTCGGCCTCCTGCTGACCCAACACTCACCACAGCCCGACCTCCTCATCACAGTCGGCCTCCTCCTCACGATACCAACCTCCCACCACAGCCCGACACTCCTCACTACAGTCGACCTCCTCACTGCAGCCCAACACTCACCACAGCCCGACACTACTCATCGCAGTCGACACTCCTCATCACAGTCGGCCTCACTACAGCCCAACACTCCTACAGCCCAACACTCCTCACCGGCCAGCCCCACTCACCACAGCTAACCTCACCACAGCCCTGACACTCAGTGCCACAGCCGACCTCACCACAGCCCGACCTCCTCACTGAGCCAGGCACTCTGCCCCTTGACATTCCTGCCCAGCCAGGCACTCCACCCAGCCTCGACCTCACCACAGCTGACATCTCTCACCACAGCCGGCGCTCACACAGCCCAACACTCCTCACCACAGCCCGACCTCCACCACCGCCCGACAACTCACCACAGCCGACCTCACAGAGCCTGACCTCCCCTGCAGCCCGACACTCACTCACCCAGGGCCCAACACTCACCACCACAGCCAGACACTAACTCCCACACAGCCCAACCTCACCACAGGTCGACACTCCTCACCACAGCCGACCTCACCACAGCCCGACCTCCTCACCACAACCCGACCTCTCACCACCGCCCAACCTCACCACAGCCCGGCCTCACCAGAGCCCCAGCCTCCACCACAGCCCGACCTCCTCACAGAGCCCCAGCACTCCACCACAGCCGGACACTAGCCACCCACAGCCCGTGCTCCACTCTGCAGCCCGGCCTCCCGCCACGTGACCTCCTCCACAGCCCAAACCTCTGCTCACCCAGCCCGACACTCACTCCACCACAGCCACAGCCTCCTCACCCAGAGCCACAGCCTCCACCACAGCCCGACCTCACGGCCAGCCACTCCACTCACCGTGGCCACTCTACTCCACCCGGCCCAGGCCTCCTCCTACCACCGTAACGTTCACTGCAGCCAGTCTCCTCCTGACCTGACCTCCGCTCACCACAGCCCAACACTCCTCACCACAGCCAGCCTCACTCCCACCTGGCCGACCTCACCACAGCCCTGATACTCACTCACCACCACAGACAACACCACAGCCCGACACTCACTCACCACAGCCCGACCTCACCACAACCAGGCCTCTATCACTGACCCAACACTCCCATCTGCAGCTGAGCCTCCCTCCCACCACAGCCCGACCTCTCCTCACTACCTTTGGCCTCACTGCAATGACACTCCTCCACCCAGAGCCAGCCTCCCACCACCGGCCCGGCCACTCCACTGCACAGCCCGACCTCCTCACCACAGCCCGACCTCCCACCAGCCCAAGCGGCCATCCCTGCAGCCGATCTCCTCCCACCACAGCCAACACCACAGCCTGACACTCCTCACACCACAGCCCGGCCTCACTCACCACAGCCCGACCTCACTCACAGAGCCAGGCCATCCACCAGCCCGGCCTCACCCGGCCCAGCCTCCTCCTGCAGCCCGGCCTTCTCCTCTTGACCCGACCTCCACCCACAGCCCGACCTCCTCTACCACCCACAGCCCGGCCTCACCACAGCCCGACCTCACTGCAGCCCGATGCTCACTCCTACAGCCGGCACACAGCCTGGCCTCCTCACCCACACAGCCCAACCTCCTCACCACAGCCCGACCTCCTCCACAGCCGGCCTCCCCACCACAGCCCGACCTCCTCACCCCGACCAGCCTCCTCCCACCCAACAGCCCGACCTCACCACAGCCCGACCTCCTCACCACAGCCAGAAGCCTCACCACAGCCTGATACTCCTCACCACAGCCAACACCACAGCCCGACCTCCTCCCCACCCGGCCCGACCTCACCATAGCCCGACCTCCTCCTACCACAGCCGACCTCTCACCACAGCCCTGATACTCCTCCCACCACAGCCAACACCACAGCCAGCCACTCCTCACCACAGCCCGACCTCTCACGCGGCATTCTGTTGGTTATTTATTCCTCTGAGGAGCATCTATCACCTCCTTCGTCCAGATCCCATCTCATCAGAAATGGCCTAGAGAGGACAACATAGCCGTTAGCTCGCTGGGGCTGACAGGAGGCCGGAACTCTATCACCTCCTTCTCGTCGAATCCCATCTCCATCAGGGAAATGACGGCCTAGAGGACAGCATAGCCGTTAGCTCGCTGGGGGCGGCAGGAGGCCGAGGAACCAGTGCCCTGCGTGCAGAGGGGGACCCTGCTCCCCGGCACCCTAGCGGGGGGTGCTCCCAACAGCACTGCGGACACTCTCCGTCCTCGTTCTCTTTCCTCACAGCTCTACTGAAACAGATCTTGGTTTTCAGCATCCTAAAGCCGAAAAAGCGAAGGGTATGACTGTAGTTAGCAGAGCCAGGGGGTCGGTGCAGCTCCCAGGCTTGTCTTCAGGGAGCCACAGGTTGTGGGGAGAAGCCACAGGTTATGACAGGTAGAAATGCATCGCTTATGTGGACATGAGGCAGTCAGGCCAACTTCAGACCCTTTCAGGTTTGTCCCAATGATTGTGTGGATAAGACTGTCTCAGCAGCCACTGCAGGTTTACCCCAGAGGGGCTTGTTATCCAAGAATAAGTGGCATTAGAGAAAGGCCACGTCAGTAAATGCAATCTCAATGGAAACAAAAATGTCACTGTAATCCGTGACAAAAGGTTTTATTCAGATTTTATCTTAGAAAAAAAGTCCTAAAACTAATTTTTTGATTTTAATATTGAACAAAACTTAAGCTACAACTAAACATATACTAATTCATTTTTGGGGAAGGGCGTACATTTTTCTGGACACAATTCATGTAACAAGATAATACATCCTTTACTCTGGTGATTTATAACACAATGTTAAAGGGGTCCGTTTTGAAAAAATATAAATAAATAAAAAGAAGGCTTTATCAAAATTTCAAGGGCCTCTCCTAATCCCTGAAAGGTCAGATCCCACTCTCTTGAAGCCCCCAGAGTCCTCTCTGTCTTTGTCAGTTTTCCGGCCACCATAAGGCCATAAGTGTAGGGGTGCCGGCCCCACACAGCTTCCAGCACCACCCAGGCTGACATCATGCAGCACCGCGCCCCACGGACCGTGCGCGTCCGCAGCCAGTCTGGCTGGACTGCATTGTCAGATGCTTCCAAGAGAACCTGGCAGAAAAAGACTTGAGCTGGGGTGGAGCTCAGGAAGGATGCTGGCTGGAGCTAAACTGTGTGCATGATCAGCTCAAAAGTCCCAGCCAGGCGCACTGGCTCACGCTTGTAATCCCAGCACTTTGGGAGGCCGGGGCGGGAGGATCACCTGAGGTCAGGAGTTTGAGACCAGCCTGGCCAACATGGGGAAACCCCATCTCTACTAAAAATACAAAAATTAGCTGGGTGTGATGGCACACGCCTGTAATCCCAGCTACTTGGGAGGCTGAGGCAGGAGAATCGCTTGAGCCCAGGAAGTGGAGGTTGCAGGGAGCCAAGATCGCACCACTGTACTCCAGCCTGGGCAACACAGTGATACTCCATCTCTCAAAAAAGAAAAAAACTCCGTATCTTCTATTTATGGTCCTTCCTGAGCCACATCCTAACTCTAGGAGCTCCAACAATGAACTTTGGAAGAACCCACCATACAATATTTTGGTATCAAAGTCATATAGAATAGCCTGGAATCTATTGAATTCAAGGACAGGATGCCCTTCTCACTAGCTTCAATAGGAAGCACTCTCCCTCATTTCTACCTCAGCCCAGGAAATGATGCCCCAGTACTCCTGAGGCAACACCTGGCAGCCCCCGCCCTCCCTGCCAGCCCATGGGGGCAAAGACTTGCTTGTGGGCAGCAATGGGAGACGGGCCTTGCACTCACGGGCTGCAGGACCTCGGGCCCTGCCAGCTCTGCCCCCGGCCAGCAGCTATCCTGCCCACCACTGGAAAGGGAGGGGCAGCAGGAAATCTGTTTTGGCCTCAAGTCAGAGCTCTCCAATCCTTTCTCGGTAACGAAGCTAATATCTCAATCTCTACTGGATACTTGCCTGATCTCAAGACTCAGACAGAAACCAAAGGGTAGAAGGACTGACAGGCTGGCCCCTCAAGCCTTGACCACCTTGTAATCATTTTCATCAAAGACATTCTACGGAATATTCTGACACAGAGAGATGACAGGAGGGAATGACAATGGGGAAGATCTTAGGAAAATGAGCACGTTAAGATTGTTAAGAATGAGCATCTCTATTTAACAAAAAGGCTTAAGACGGCAAGAAAGAATATGACTAACAACCTCTAAGAGACTGTGTAGCACCACAACACGGGAGAGTGCAAAGTCCAGCCTCAGCGCACAAGGGACCCAGCTGGAGAGTGGCCGCTCCGCCCGACAGGCTTCCAGGATCAGATGGGAACTTGGCTCCCTAGGAGACAAGCACAACAAGACACACTTTCTGCTAAACCTAGAAATGCTAGATAAAAATAAAACAAAAATGCTTTTAGGCTGGGCACAATGGCTCATGCCTGTAATTCCAGCACTTTGGGAGGCCAAGGCAAGAGGATCACTTGAGGCCAGGAGTTCAAGACCAGCCTGGGCAACACAGGGAGATCCCTATCCGTACAAAATTTTAGAAATTAAAAAATTAGCTCTGTTTGGTGGTGCGTGCCTGTAAGAGCTACTCAGGAGGCTGAAGTAGCATCATTTGAGCCCAGAGGTCAAGGCTGCAGTAAGCCATGATTGTGCCACCGCACTCTAGTCTGGTTGAGAGTGAAACTGTCTCAAAAAAAAAAAAAGAAACTTTTAAATGCATAGCAAAACTCACAAGAAAGGCTATCCACAAGTGATAAAAACCAAGAAGGAAGAGACAGAAAACTAGCTCTATGAAAGGGTGTGCACAGGGTCCAGTGTCCACACACAGAAAGAACGTGCGCCTTGGGCCCATGGGAGGGAGACAGTGGGAAATGAGACTCTCATTTAAAGCGAGGACCCTGAAAAGATGAGAAGATGGACTAGAAAAGCATTTGTCTCAATGGGATCTAACTAAACTGAAGAGCTTCTGCACAGCAAAAGAAACGACCATCAGAGTGAGCAGACAACCTATAGAAGGGAACATCTTTACAATCCATCCACCTGACAAAGGGCTAATATCCATAATCCACATGGAATAAACAAATTTACATTTAAAAACCCCATTAAAAACTGGGCAAAGGACACGATCAGACACTTCTCAAAAGAAGACAGTTGGCTGGGCGTGGCACCTCACTCCTGTAATCCCAGCACTTTGGGAGGCCAAGGCAGGCGGATCACTTGAGGTCAGGAGTTTGAGACCAGCCTGGCCAACATGGTAAAACCCTGTCTCCACTAAAAACACAAAAATCAGCTGGGTGTGGTGGGTGTGTGCCTGTAGTCCCAGCTACTCAGGAGGCTGAGGCAGGAAGAATCCAGCCTGGGCAACAGAGCAAGGCTCAGCATTACTGATCATTAGAGAAACGCAAATCAAAACTGCAATGAGATACCATCTCATGCCAATCAAAATGATGATTATTAAAAAGTCAAGAAACAACAGCTGCTGGTGAGGCTGTGGAGAAACAGGAACACTTTTACACTGTTGGTGGGAATGTAAATTAGTTCAACCACTGTGGAAGACGTGTGGTGATTCCTCAAAGACCTAGAAACAGAAATACCATCTGACCCTGCAACTCCATTACAGGGTATATACCCAAAGGAATAAGAGAAATCATTCTATTATAAAGATACGTGCACACACATGGTCACTGCAGCACTATTCACAATAGCAAAGATAGAGAATCAACCCAAATGCCCATGGATAAGAAAAGAAACTGGATAGGCTGGATAAAGAAAATATGGGACATACACACCATGGAATACTACGCAGCCATGAAAAGGAACGGGATCACGTCCTTTGCAGGGTCATGGATGAAGCTGGAAGCCATTGTTCTCAGCAAACTAACACAGGAACAGAAAACCAAGCACCTCCTGTTCTCACTCATGAGTGGGAGCTGAACAATGAGAACACATGGACACAGGGAGGGGAACATCACACACCGGGGCCTGCTGGGGGCCCGGGGGAGGGAGGGCATCAGGATAAATAGCTAATGGATGCTGGGCTTAATACCTAGGTGATAGGTTGACACGTAGCAAACCACCATGGCACATGTTTACCTTTGGAACAAACCTGCACATCCTGCATATGTATCCCAGAACTTAAAATTAAATTAAATTTTAAAAGAAACAAAGAAAAGCATTTGTCTCCATGGGACCCTGTGCAGGGAAGACCTGAGCTGTGAAGCCGGGGGTTAAACTGCAGGACATGAGGGGCAGGGGCCCCACTCATCACCGGCAGAAGCAAACTCAGAATCACCCCAGGTGGGTGTCTACAGCCTGGCCACAGGGAACTCCACGGAAGACACGAGCCCCGCAGGTGAGGCCACAGCACAACGTCACACACCCCAGGGAAACAATCAACGCCACACGTGAGACGAGAGCATGCAGATGGAAGCCCTGACGGAGTGGATCTGCCATCTGAGCACGTCGGAGAAGACAGAAACCTCCAAGGAGGAAGTAAGACCCAAATCAAAGAACAGGAGAGAGAAGGAAGAACGGGGAGATGAGGTGCGGGCGAGGAAGGTCCACACACACAGGCGCGGGGACCCTGCAGCCCTGCAGACCGCGCCACGGAGGCGGTTGGCCAGCCTGAGCGGCCCCTCGCTCACAGACACCCACCACAGCAGATGGCCCTCCCGGTCTCCGAGCAGGACCCCCACCCCGCAGAGACGCGGCCGAATAGGGGCGGCTTGTGGACATGAGTGGTCAGCAGGAACTGTAAAATGTCGTTTTTCAAAAGGTGACGAATGTGGCAACAGAGAGGAAACAGGGGTGCCTGGATTCAAGCCGGGATAACTTACAGGGGTGCTCAGAAACTCGGGCCGCGGTCCAGGCTCGCCACTTCCCAGACCCCCTATAAACCCCTTCCCCAGCTTCTCTCTCCTGGGCCAAGAGCCAGCTCAGCCCAAGGTCACCACACAGCCCCAGCTTCCTTTCCATGGCGCCACCTCAAGGGAAGACACGGCGACTCTGCCTGGCGACAGGTCTAGTAACACATACCCGAGCATCAGCCCGAAACTCCCTTTTCCTCCGGATCTTCTTGAAGATTTCCGTGAGCTCATCTCTGGCCTCCTCATCGGTGGTGCTGGCTCCTGCGGCAGCCTCAGGGGCGGCTGCGGTGGCCCCCTCAGCCCCTGGGGGAGCCTGGCCCGGAAGAGGCGTGTCTATGGTTGGATCTTCTGCGTGTTCAATTAGCCACTCCATGGCCTGAGGCACCGACATGCTGCAAGGCAAGAGACTCTTTCCAGCACCCCCAGGCTAACGGACCGGGGCCTTCGCCTCCTGTCCATTCCCAAGAGCCTCTGCTATGGTTGTGGCTTCTCCAGCATCAGCTGGTGGCCCTTAAAAGGAGAACCTGAATGAACACAGGTGCAACGGAAGCTCTGGTCCTTGCCTCAGACTACCTTGAGACCCTGGGCAGAAACAGAAGCCCGTCTAAGGAGAGGCGAGCGGACCCAGAGGTCTCTGCTGGGAGTTTAGGGATGGAGCGCCCCTGGCTGCCCCTGGATCTCGGATTATTCGTTTTAGATCTGAACACAGAAGCAGGACCAATAACTCACACGGAAATCCTGAGAAGACTGTTAGAGGCCGTGTCCCTGCTACAAATGGGCTTCACCTTGAGTTCTCATACAACGGCCCAAAGGGAATTTATACAACGACTGTTCTGTCACATTCACCCCAAAAACACTTTGCAGGCACATATTTAAGGTACCTCTTCAAAACCCCACGTTAGAAAAGATTCAGTCAAACAAAGAGTTTAGGGTAGGAGGACGTCACCCACGGTGGGAGCCCCCACAAGACCAGGCCCCACATGTCTCCGGCAAGGGAAGGAGGTGGCCCCCACGCACTGGTTCAGCTGAAGGGCCTTGGTGGCTCTGTTCTCCGGAAAGCCCATCTCCGTGAGCTGCCGCAGGGCGGCCTCGTCCACACGCTCATCCTCGTCCTCGTCCAGCATCGCTGTGGGGAGATGACAGGGCCATGAAGGCTCCAGCCTCAGGCCCAAGGGCCTTATCTGAGCACAAACATTTGCAGGAATTATCTGTCTGAGCTCTGCCTGCCCGCCCTCAGGCGTATCAACAGGAGTTGCCGGTGAGGCAGGCCCCAGGCCCTCATCAGTGCTTCCATAAAGCACTGAGGTGCTGGTCGTGCGGAGCTGCAGACGCTCCCCCAGGCAGGCAGTGAACCACGCCTGGAATGTAGCATCAGGGCTGACTCATACCATTCGCCTTCTTAAACAATTCCACCGCATCTGGGTTCAGTGCTAACAGCTTCTGCGCCACCTCGATGAGAGACACCAGGATCTTCCGGAGTTCTGTCTGGAACTGCAGTGAAAAAAAAGGAGATCAATTCTCTAAATGTCCAGCAAACCTACTTGGACCTATGACTTGCTCCCATCCTGGAACTCCGATCCTCAGAGTCGAGATGACACTGCTTTCCTACAAGACAGCAGGATCAACTGAGGGCAAGGCAGGGGATCGGCAGGGCCAAGGGCCTCCCTGAAGGTGGGACTGAAGCCAGTGGAAAGGGACACGAACGCCCGGTGACAGTCGCTCAGTGCTGGCCTGATACTCAGCCTGTGCCCAGTGAGGAAACCGTCGGTCCAGCCAGCGTGGGTGGGGGCAAGCTGAAGAACCTCTCTGGCTTCACCAAAGAAAACAGAATCATCTGAGGCTCCACGCCCATGAGTCTGCCGGCCCCTGGTGGAGGCATGCCTGCCACACAGCGGTGGCCATCACTGTCTTCCCCAGGCAGGACAAGCTGTGGGACGGAACAGAGACGCCCTCCAGAACAGCTAGAGGTCAGGTGTCAGCTATCCCTTCTCTCACACAAGTGTGAGCCTTGGTGTGGATACCACACTAGAGAAACACCTCTGAGCTGGACACACACAGGATGGGAGACACACATGCTGGCTGCTGGGGAAAAGTCACCATGCCCTGGTCGGCACAGAACTCTCTGGAAGAGACCCCAAGAGGTTCATTCCTAAAATGAAACAGGGGTTATGGCAGCGCCCTTAGGTCGGACTGGCATCGGATGAAGTTGGAAGCCAGTCGTCCTCCCACCCCGGCACAGCACGTGCCCCACTGCTGGGGCGTCCACGTGAGCACTGCAAACACTTTTCTTTTTTAACTGATAACGTTCTGATCCAAAATAACTCACGGGTTCAGATTTCTTTTTTTTTTTTTCTTGAGACAGAGTTTCACTCTTGCTGCCCAGGTTGGAGTACAATGATGCGATCTCAGCTCACTGCAACCTCTGCCTCCTGGGTTCAAGCGATTCTCCTGTATCAGCCTCCTGAATAGCTGGGATTACAGGTGCCCACCACTATGCCCGGCTAATTTTTGGTATTTTTAGCAGAAACGGGGTTTCACCATGTTGGCCAGGTTGGTCTCGAACTTCTGACCTCAGGTGATCCGCCCGCTTTGGGTGCAGAATTCTATCTAAACATTTCTGCCAAACTCAGGGCCGGACTGACATTTTCCCAGGGGTATCCATGTTTCCAGCCCTGTCTTCAGATGGCTTTCCAACTCTCACTTGGAAATAATTTTTGATTTACAGAAAAAATGCAAAATAGTGCAGTCCTATAGACCCCCTCACTGACTTCCCCAAATACTCCTAGAGAATCTCCTCTTGCTGCCCCACCCTGTGGGAACCCCCCACGGCAATCCCCCACACGGGGACCCCACGCGCCCACCGCCGCTCTGGGCCGACACTTACATCTCTCATGTTGGTCTGGACCGCGGCCCGGTCCATGTTGTAGGACGGCAGGTTGGCGGTGGCCCGGAGTATGGCCTCTTTATCTGGAGCTTTCTGGTCTTGTTTTTTCTACACAGAAAAGTAATCGGAAAGTCAGACATGAACGTAACAGCACCAAAAAGCAAGATGATGAAAACTGAATCAGCAGAGCTCTGCCAAGGAAAGACTCCGTCTCCTTCAGGAGCCAGAGGTATAAACTCCTTGATGAGCTGGGGGAGCCTGGAGAGTTCTGGGCAAGGCCCAGGGACAGCAGACGTGTCCTCAGCGTCTGCTCTGCCGTAAATGAGAGTGAAGCGGTAGGTGAGGGGCAGAGCAGGAACAAGGGTCACAGAACGACAACCACACGGGGGCTGTGGCAGGGCTGGGGCAAGGGAGGCGACTCCAGAACCACCCAGGCTGCAGCTGAGCCCTGAGGCCAAAATCACGAACTCATCTCTGCTCCTTCTGGAAGCTCCTGACAGGCAGTTACGGCAGTAGAAACTCACGAGAACAAAAGTGATGGGGGAGGAACAGAACCGGAAGAGTGACAGCACATTCTCAGAAGATGGCAGAGGATGAGGATGGAGGGATCAGCAGAGCTACGAAGGCTCAGGCCAAGAGCAGAGCATGGACGCAAGACCATTCCAGCCTCCTAGAACTGCATCGGTGGCAGGGGACGGGGAGGGAGCCTCAGGAGCTAGGACTCCATCCTCCCCCACCCTGCCCTGCGCTCCCCTGCCATCCAGTCCTGCCGGCAACTCCCAGAGAGCTGGCCTTGACCCCGGGCCAGAAGCCCTCGGCTCATGAGAGGGAAAGCGGCACCCCCAGCACCCTCGACAGGGAGACCCAGCAGCAGGGGAGTGGGGCAGACACAGCCATGAGGTGGGAGGGGGCAAAATGGCAGGGTCTGCACCCAAAGGGCAGTGCCCCAGCCAGCCACCCAGTCCCAAAGCACTGCTAACAAGATCCAGGGCCTCTGGAAGGTGGCATTCAGCCACAGACAGCCGGCCAGACGTTTGAGGAAAGCTTCCAGCACAAAAGACAAAACCCCAAATAAAAACAGGAACAGGCTGGGCGCAGCGGTGCACGCCTATAATCCCAGCCCTTTGGGAGGCCGAGGTGGGTGGATTACTTGAGGTCAGGAGTTCGACACCAGCATGGCCAACATGGTGAAACCCCATGTCTAATAAAAATACAAAAATAAGCCGGGTGTGCTGGTGCACGCCTGTAATCCCAGCTACCCGGGAGGCTGAGGCAGGAGAATCGCTTGAACCTGGGAGGTGAGCTGAGATCACACCACTGCACTCAAGCCTGGGTGAGTGACAGTGAGACTCCGACTGAAAAAAAAAAGAAAAGGAACAACAGAAAGCAGCACAAAGTGAGGAGCCAGCAGGGAAGAGGACAGTGTTTATGAGCCAGGACACACGGCCCGCAGAGGAACACACCAGAACGCTAGAAGACATCCGAGGAGGAGAACCAGCTTAGGAATTTAAATACGTTACAACCAGATCAAAAAGGCTACAGAATGCTTAGAAGATAAAGCAAGGAATCCCTCAGGAAACAGGCCTACCGGCCAACTCGTAAGTGTTACAGAAACAGAAAAGAAAACAAGGAGATCAAAAAACCAATTCAGGACATTTTCCAGGACTAAATCTCCCAGAACTCAAACATCTGAATTTCCAGAGTCAATGCCAGGCAGAGCGAAGAGAAAAAGACCCACAGCAGAGACACGGTGGAACATCCCAGAACGCTACAGCACACCAGATGGCAGAAGGTTCTAGGAGCAGAAGAAGGGGAGGCCTCAGCTGGTGCAGGGAGGAGCGGCTCAGAGCTGCCTTGTGTACTGCACACGGCGGTGCCCCCTCCACAGCTCCTGCGCTGGAATGCGAGGCCTCAAGACGGTTTCTCCTCCCGGGCAAAAGAGGAAGTCAGGCTCCGCCAGAACAAGGGACAGGTCGAGAAGAACAAGACACCTGGTCCTGCGGCAGGCAGAACTCGAGGATGGCGGCACGCTCCCCGTGCCTGGCAGTTGCCCGTGCGTGGCCACAGAGCATGAGCAGGAGGACACAGTCCACTCTGGGTCAGGTTACATCACGCAGCACAGCCGACTCTGGGGAAAGAGCATGATCCTTGGTGGGCCTCACCTAATCAGGCAGGTCCTTAAAAGGGATGGGTCTCTTTCTAGAAAGAGAGATTCAACACTTCAGAAATCCCACTGCTGGCTCTGAAGGAGGAGGAGGCTGTGTGGGTAGGAATGCGGGCCACGCCCAGGCCCTGAGAGCAGCCCCCAGCCGGCAACCAGCAAGAAAATGGGTCAGAACTGGACTCTGCCAACCGCCGGAAGACCTCAGAAGCAGAATCTTTCCCAGCCTCGGAAAGGAAGGCAGCCCTTCAGCACCCTGAACATAGCCCTTCAGCACTCTGATTTCAGCTCGAGACCCTGAGCACAGAAACCAGCTGAACTCACCCAGCCAGACTTCTGCCCTACAGAACTGCAAGCTACAAGCCGAGGGCTGTTTTTTTAAGTGCCTACGTGCGTGGTGATTTGTTGGGTGGCAACGGAAAACTTGCATAGACTTAGCAAACTCTACCATAGGAGAGAGGCAGGAAAGCCAGGCTGTGCAGCAGGCCTGGAAGGCAGCGACTCAGACAGATGCGCAGGCCAGAGGGATCTGGAGGGACAGCCCCAGGAGAAAGGGAAGGCCCCGGCGACCTGACCTCTGTGACCATGTTTCCAGTACCTTTATCAGCTCTGTGGAAGAGCATGAAAAAATCAGCGATAAGCCTATAAGAAACTCAACAAGTAAACGAAAGGAAGAGGCAAGTATTAATTCTAAGAAAAACAAAGTTGTGTGAGAAGGATGGATAATCTTAATCTATTTTGCTCACAGCAGAAAACTACACTTCAATTATAATAGTAATGAAAACCCTGAGATCGTCAACCAGCATTATGATCTAACCCTCAAGGGAGGAGAGAGGGAGGTACTACAGCTTCTTCATTAAGAAGCCAATAGAGACTAAAGTTGGTCATTCAAGGAATAATAATATACACATTATTATTTAGAAATCAGGAAGAGAATTGTTAAAGATAACAAAGAGTTACGAGGGGTTGGGCCAGGCGTGGTGGCTTACGCCTGTAATCCCAACACTTTGGGAGGCCAAGGTGGAACAGACCACCTGAGCCCAGGAGTTCAAGACCAGCCTGGGCAACATGGTGAGACCCCATGTCTAAAAAAAAAATACAAAAATTAGTGAAGTGTGGTGGCACACACCTATAGTCCCAGTTGCTTTACTCCTGGGGCTGAGGGAGAAGGATCACTTAAGCCCGGGAGGCAGAGGTTGCAGTGAGGTGAGATCATACCACACACTCCAGCCTGATGTGCACTGCCTGGCTTGTGCCAACACGCCCAGCTATTTTATGTTTTTTGTAGAGACAGGGTTTCATCATGCTGCCCAGGCTGGTCTCAAATTCCTGGGCTCAAGTGATCCTCCCACCTCAGCCTCCCAAAGTGCTGCGACTACAGGCATGGGCCACTGCACCCAGCCAAGACCACTAATTCTTATTAAAAGATTTGTAGTATTATTTGACCTTTTAAAAACATACGTCACTTTGACTTAAAAATTAATTCATAAATACAAAAATTAGCTGGGTATGGTGGCACACACCTGTGGTCCCAGCTACTCGGGAGGCTGAGGCAGGAGGACTGCTTAAGCCCAGGAGGTCAAGGTTGCAATGAGTTATGATTGTACCATTGCACTGTGGCCTGGGCAACAGAGTGAGATCCTGTCTCTGAAACAAAAACAAAAACTAAATTAAAAATTAATTCAGGCCAGGCACGATGACTCATGCCTGTAATCCTAGCACTTTGGGAGGCCGAGGCAGGTGGATCACCTGAGATCAGGAGTTCGAGACCAGCCTGGCCAACATGGTGAAACCCCGTCTCTTGTAAAAATACAAAAAATTAGCTGGCCGTGGTGGCACGCACCTGTAATTCCAGCTACTCGGGAGGCTGAGGCAGGAGAATCATTTGAACCTGGGGGACGGAGGTTGCAGTGAGCTGAGATCGCGCCATTGCACTCTAGCTTGGGTAACAAAAGCAAAACTCTGTCTCAAAAATAATAATAATAATAATAATAAATTCATAAAAATATGAATTGACATCTTACAATGTTTCAGTTTGCAAATATTTGAAGAGAAAAGGTAAGCTCCTCAAGTTAGCTCCGAGCTACCCATCCAAGGAGCTGTGGAGCAGTGGCTATCCGGTCAGACACCACTGTTTGTATCAGTTACGGGCCTGTAAGTCTGAACACCAACGGTCAAACTGTAATCTGAGAACTGTGAATGCTGCCTGCAGCAGTTCCCAGAAACAGGCCTGACTCAGGGACAGGCGGAGGCAGGCCCAGATCTGTCCACTGCAGATGGGTGGGGCGGCAGCCTGTGTGTTACTCATGCGTGGCTAGGTGTGGCTGAAGATAAGCAGGGGACCCAAGCCCAGGGCGCTCTTCCTGGGGACCCGTGGTCCCAGAGAAACCCAAAAATAGCTTCTGCACTCCCAGGCATGGGCCTGGCCCAAAAGAGTTGGGCCCGCTGCTTCTCTGTGGTGAACACTCTCCTTAGCCTCTCAAAGCATGAGTAAGAAACTCTACCTTCGAGATGAGTAATGCAAAGACAGCAGGGGAAAGTGGCTGCCCTTCTCGCCAGCAGGCTCCACGCTCGGCCCGGGCTCAGGCCCTGCTGTGGGGTAGGACGTGCCACTTGCAGAACGCATCTTCCTCTGCTCAGTGAGCTTTCCAAAGTGTGAGCTTCTGGGGCAGCCAGCAAACACCACACTGCACGGTTCTCCTAAGGGACACGCGTGAGTGGACGGCGCAGACCATGAGTCGACAACGTGTGTGTGAATGTACACACCAAGGACATCCAGTTCTGTTTTGCAAGAAACAGACAAGACAGGCAGAACTCAGCCCCTCTCAGTATGAAGAGTGCAGGCTGAGCATCCCCCATCTGAAATGCCTGGGGCCAGAACTGGTTCGGATTTTGGGTTTTTTCAGATTTGGGAATATTTGCATTCCAAATAATAAACTCAAAAAGCACCAGCGAGCCCTTCCATTAAGTGTCATTTCGGCACTCAAAAAGGTTCAGACTGCGGTGCATGTGGATTTTCGGATGGGGATGCTGAGCCTCTGCGGTGTGAGGCGGAGCTTGTCGCCAGTGCTCCCTCGCCGGCCACTCTCTGCATGTGCGGCCCTTATTCCGTGTGGTGGCTGGTTACCAACTTCCCTCCGTTTTTCTGTCAGGACTGACTTGGCTGCTTGAGGAGGAACGGGAGCACACGCAGGTGAAGGCGGACAGCAGCACGGGAGTGAACTGTCACGCAGGATGTGCCCCTCCTCTCCTCTCTGTCTCAAAAAACTCAGAGGCAGGTTTTCTGTGCTGGTCCCGTGAGCAGGGACCAGAACTGACATGGATTAAACAGGCTCTGCCAGGAGAGAGAACCCCTTATAACCACATCTACTGTAAATGGCAAATATGTGGGTTGGTGAACAACTAGTATGGAGAACTTCTTTATAATTCTTTTTTAAAATTATTTATTTATTTATTTAATTTTGAGATGGAGTCTCACTCTGTTGCCAGGCTGGAGTGCAGTGGCACGATCTCGGATCACTGCAACCTCCATCTCCCGAGTAGCTGAGACTACAGGCGCGCGTCACCACGCCCAGCTAATTTTTTTGTATTTTTAGTAGAAACGGGGTTTCACCATATTGGCCAGGATGGTCTCGATTTCTCGACCTTGTGATCCACCCGCCTTGACCTCCCAAAGCCCTGGGATTACAGGCACGAGCCACCGTACCCGGCCTATAATTATTATTTTTTTCTTTTTTTTTGAGACAGAGTCTCGCTCTGTTGCCCAGGCTGGAGAGCAGTGGCACGATCTCAGCTTACAGCAAGCTCCACCTCCCAGGTTCACACGGTTCTCCTGCCTCAGCCTCCCGAGTAGCTGGGACTACAAGCGCCCACCACCATGCCCAGCTAATTTTTTGTATTTTTTTTTTTAGTAGAGACAGGGTTTCATGGTGTTAGCCAGGATGGTCTCGATCTCCTGACCTTGTGATCCACCCACTTCGGCCTCCCAAAGTGATGGGATTACGGGCGTGAGCCACAGCGCCCGGCCATTTTTTTGTATCTTTTTTAGTAGAGACGGGGTTTCACCATGTTAGCCAGGATGGTCTCAATCTCCTGACCTGGTGATCTGCCCACTTCGGCCCCCTAAAGTGCTGGGATTACAGGCGTGAGCCACTGCACCTGGCCTATAATTCTTAAATGCAAACTTCTACCAATAAAGGTCCCCAATTGCAAACTTTGAAATTTACCTTTTCTTCTGCTGAGACCTCAGCCATCTTGGGAAGTGGAGATGGAGCACGTTTTTTTATCAATAATAGGACGTCTAGAAAAAACAACATGTATATCCATCACACTGGTTATCGTTTCATATCCACAGAACAGCATAAAGAGTGCTGGATGTCCTGAGAACAGAACAGCAGGGGTTCGGCCACGCGCGGTGGCTCCCATCTGTAATCCTAGCACTTTGGGAGGCTAAGGTGGGCAAATCACCCAAGGTCAGGCGTTCAAGACCAGCCTGGCCAACACAGTGAAACCCCGTCTCTACTAAAAATACAAAAATTAACCAGGCATGGTGGCACACACCTGTAATCCCAGCTATTCAGGAGGCTGAGGCAGGAGAAATCACTTGAACCCGGGAGGCGGAGGTTGCAGTGAGCTGAGCACCACTGCACTCCAGCCTGGGCAACAGAGCAAGAACTTCATCTTAAAAAAAAAAAAAAGAAGAAGAAGAAGAAGAAGAAGAAGAGCAGGCTTCAGCTGGGTGCAGTGGCTCACTCCTATCAGCCCAGCATTCTGACAGGACGAGGCAGGCAGATCACTTGAGCCCAGGAGTCCAAGACCAGACTGGACAACATGGCAAGACCCCATCTCTACGAAAATACAAAAAATAGCTGCATATGGTGGCACATGCCCATAGTCCCAACTACTTGGGAGACTAAGGTGAGAGGATTGTTTGAGCCCAGGAGGTCAAGGCAGCAGTGGGTCTGACTGTGCCTCTGCACTCCAGCCTGGGTGACTGAGCAACACCATGTCTCCAAACAGCAGGGATTCCTTTGGTCTCCCCAAACCAAGGATCTACGCCAGCCTTCCCTCACTTTTTCAGGACGTCTGCGTGGCCCTAGCTGAGGTACAAGCTCCCAGGCCTGGCACAAAGCCCCAGGTGACCTGTGGCCCCAGAGGCGTGCACAGCATGGCCCCAGTAATTGTGCAACGAATTGGTGACAATCCTGCACAGGGCCCTCATTTTCACCGGCTCGGTTTTGAAAAAGTCTGTGAGGCCGGAGAGTTTACTCTTAACCCTCGGAGGTCAAAACCTGAGATGTGGCTCATCCTCAGCCCACGACGGTGGCCATCCCCCACTGGCTTGGAGCTTGATGGTCATCTCAGTGGGTATCTGTTAGCAAAACTTCCAGGATTTTCAAAACAGCTTACTTCAAGGAATTCCATCAGTAAAGGCATTATTTGAATGACATAACCAAAACTGATGTTAGCTCTCCAAGTGCCTCCAGACACAAAACCATAAGCAATTAAATGGACGTGTGTGTCTAACACTGCACTGGGATGCTGCCAACAATCCCCACAGCGAAGGTGAAAGCTGCAGAACCCCTGGAGTCTCTCGCTTTGCTCCAAACAGAACTAAAAGCAAAATGCATGTGTGGCATCTCCAAATGTCTGCTGCTTGTTCCATTTGAATTTCTGCTATTTTTCACAGGTATTCTATCACGGAACTCTTTTTAATAAAGGAAAAACAGAATGCTTTTAGTCGATCGCATTTCCGTGCTCGTGTCCAGCTCAGAACACTGACTCCTGTGGGTGGACCACCCCCTCCTAGCTCCAGCGCCCCCAGCAGCGCACGATGCCTGATGCCAACCCGCCCACCCACAGCAGCCTTACCTTGGTCCTGGATGTTCTCTTCCAGGATGGTTCTGGCATCACTCAGCACCCTCTCTGAGGCAGCGTGGATTAATTTATGATGGGTTATACTTTTGGGGTCTTCTAAGCTCCCATGAGCACACTGGGGAAAAATAGATATTTCAAGGTAGAAAATAAGTAAATCGTAATTCTAATAACATAGGACCTGGCATCCCAAGCCACACCTGGAATTTACTGGGTTTCCTTATGAGCTAAGAAATTACACCATGGATGAAATTCAAGAATTCCCACTAATAGTAGATGGCAAATGAAGCATCACAGCGCCAGATCCCCTGGGCCAGTGAGCTGATCCCCAGCCCACGGAGTACTTCTGAAGCAAGCTCCCAGCTCTGACATACCACACACCCTACTGACAATTCACAGCCACCAGAATTGCTTCTTTGGTCTAGAAAGATCTGGAAAATAATTTTAAATGAAAATAGCAGATCCATTGTTTTCTGATGGCCTAAAGACCTACCTACATTTTGGGCAGTCGTTTTTCTTTCTTCCACAGATGCAAGAAAGGGGCCCAAGAGGCTGCCCAGAAAGAAGACCGGCTCACAGAGAGCCCAAGACTGGGATAAGAGGAGCACTTAGCATGACTGCTCTCGGCTTGGCCCAGCTCACGAAGCAGCAGCCATGCTGCACCCCTGGGTGGCTCGAAGGGGGACCGATGGGCACACGGTCACCAGGACCCTGGAAACCCTGCAACACCCGTGCAGGGAACGGGAGGCAACACATGGGCAGCAGCGAGGAGATCCCCCTCACACACACCACAGCCACCTCTGACCAGTGCTCACGGGGGCCTGGGAAGCCATCTTGACAGCTACCAACTGCAAACTCCAGGAGGAAGTTGGAGCAGACGGCTATGATCCCTTCCAACCCTGCCATTACGAAGACCTCACAGCCAACTGCTGGCAGGGGTGGATCCTGCTCCTCAATTCAGCCAGCATCCTCTCTGCAAAACAGCGCACAGCTGTCCCTGACTCATGCGCATGGCACTGGCTTGTGGGAGTTCTGCTTTCCTTTGGACACGGGGGCTATGCGTGTCAGCTCACCATTTTGTGAAGAACGGCAAACACCGATGGTGCCACGTGATGAAGACCGAGGTCGGCACATGTGCCTGCGTGTTCGTGCCCAAGTCGGTCCAGAGTTCCACGACTCCACCCTATTATCTATCTGCCTCAGCACCATACAGCCCGACACATCACACCACACCACAGCACACCAAACAGCGCCCACCTAAATACCCACCGTTTCCACAGCCTGGCCTGAAAACCCTTCAGAACTCAGAGCTTGGGTGGCAAGAAGGCTGACTATTTTCTTGCTCTTACAGATCCCCAGAGGTTAGATGGTAGAATTACCTGAAGATCAGAAAAGGATGAAACCCTCAAGGGGCACTTTCTAAACCTGGTAGCGGGCTCAGCCCGTGGGTCAGGAGCATGGCCCAGCCTGGAGCGGGGCCGGGGCACCCCCCCAGGACAGGCCGTCCTCGGACGTCTCAGGTGGCCGGCAGAGGTCCCGCTGGCCGCTCACTTTCTACCTCCCTTTGCTGCCACAGAGGCTCTGAAACACCCAGCACACACAACTGCTTGCTGGGAAAGAAAATCTAAGCACACACTTCACCTCTCAACACTGGCATTTGAAGAATAACTGCAATTTTCTGTTACTCTCAAGACTGAAAACGGTTTTGAAAAAGGGGCTGTCACTCCTTCACACAAAACTGGCCAGGCTGAGGGGATGTGAGGGGGGATGCGCCTACTGGGAAGACACACTCCTGCCATTTACGACAGGGCAGAGAGCCCCTCAAGTGCCTCTGGATTTGACAATGGCTCTGCTCCCTGAAATACTGGGGGTGCTTCTTCATGATCCTAAAGTTTGCAGGCCAGTTCATTTGTCAAGTTCAGAATATACAGACTACGAAAGGCAATTTTCCAAAATAATTCTCATACCGATTCCCAAAAAACCTGTAGTCCGCGTGTCACCAGCATACCAGGAACAACATGGAAGCACTAGGACGACCATGTCACTCTGCTTCTTTGTCCTCAGCAGAAGCTGGGGTATGGCAGCAAAAGAGCCCCAACCAAGGCCGCTGGGGGAGGGAGGCCCTCACACCGCCCCCCCTCTACATCCTGCTCCTCCCCAGAAGAGCAGTGACTAGGTTTCTACTTGTTCCTGACGCAATCCGTCATCTGAGGACCCATCTTCATGCGATCTAGGAAGTGGAAAATTTAACAGCTATACTAGTAGGTACTGTATTCTATTGTGGCAATTTCATGAACTCCTTTTTTTTTTTAAAGACAGGGTCTCGTTCTGTCACCCAGGCTGGAGAGCAGTGGCACAATCATTGCAACCTCCACTTCCCAGGTTCAAGTGATTCTTGTGCCTCAGCCTCCCGAGTAGGTGGGATTACAGGAGTCCACTACTATGCCAGGCTATTTTTTACATTTTCAGTAGAGAAGGGGTATCACCATGTTGGCCAGGCTGGAATTTCGTGAATGTTTACGACACACACCAAAAACTCTACCGCACCACAGGTATGATTTTCCTAAACTCATTAACCACCTGTTGTACAAGACGGTTCCCCTGCCCGCTTCTCCATTCCAGGGCCATGGAAGCTAGAGCCCACCATGGTGATCCCAATTTGCACAAAACAGAAAAGGGAAAGACAACAGCAAGAGTTGTAATCATAAAGCCCCTCAATTCAGCAATGCACACCCAGGAGCACAGCGGGGAGAAGCCGACATCACGCCCCTCCAGGTAGAGGGGAAAGAGAAAGGATAAAATCATGCCGGTGTCAGCACGCACTAGGGACCTGACGAGGAGCAACAAAGCTAAAACACACCAGACCTCACTGCCAACAGCAGGATGACATCCAGGGACCGGCTTCCAGAGAGACGTTCAAATACACAACTTGAGGGTTCTCTTTTCCGACTAATGCATTCTAGCCCTGCCTGCAGAACCAAAATGGGATGCGGTGGTGGGGAACCTTTCTGACGCTCAGCTCTGGAGTCCTGAAATTTATGTTGGCTCTTGTGGTGTGGAAATCCCCTGCTAGTCAAATCCTCCACACCTGCGGAGACCGCAGAGTGAAATACAATCTCAGTTTAAAGTAGGATAACGACAAAAAATCCCAAATGATACAGCTCAACATCAGATGGAGTAATAAATATCAGGAATATAATAATTAGCATCACATTGGAACTGGCTGCCTAACTGACCCCCGGTGCTCCTGAAATTCATGAGTGAGTATCTGCGGATCAAACAGCTCTCATTTCCTATTTCCTTTCATAAAAGAATGTCATGATAGCGTGTGCAGCGCTCCCTGAGGGAGTTAAACTAAATGCTGCACCAATGCAGGTGACATCCCATGTCGATGCAGTGTGGGGTCCACGGGATATTTTTGTCTATTCCATTAACCCACAAGTTTGTTCTGGTGCCACTCTGAGCCTGGCCCTGGACTTGCAGATATAAACACAGCCGCTGAGGAGCTTCTGCACTGACGCATGGAGGATACAGCACTTCAGAGAAGTTTGTGGGATTTTTTTGTCAGTTGTGGGTTTTGTTTTGTTTTGTTTTGTTTTTTGAGACAGAGTCTTGCTCTGTCACCAGGCTGGAGTGCAGGGGCGCAATCTCATCTCACTGCAACCTCCACCTGGCGGGTTCAAGTGATTCCCCTGCCTCAGCCTCCCAAGCAGCTGGGATTACAGGCACGCGCCACCATGCCCAGTTAATTTTTCTGTATTTTAGTAGAGATGGGGTTTCACCATGTTGGCCAAAATGGTCTCGATCTCCTGACCTCATGATCCGCCCACCTCAGCCTCCCAAAGTGCTGGGATTACAGGTGTGAGCCACCCCGCCCGGCCCGGAGAAGTTTTTTAAAACACAAGCAACTAGGCAAGCAAAACGCCTGGCTCAAACAGCCTGGATGCCCACAGAGTAACCGGCACTGGAGCTTAGTGCCACCCCGATGGTTGTCCAGACGGCGAAATCATGCAGACTGGGCCAGAAGAAAAGCAAGAAAGCAACCAAAACATACGGACCCTTGAACGCAGGAGGCTCAGCCCCTCCTTGGTGTGAATCCTGAGGACAGCACCTCCCAGTTGTTCACAGCCAGTGCGTTCCAGACGGGGCTTGCCAAGCCTGCCTCTGACAGTTCCAGAACTTCACAGAACCATGCTCACAAAAGCAACTCGAAAGTACTCTATGCAAGCAGCTGCTAGGGTAAGAACTGAAGTTTATCCTTACAGACCACACTTAGCTCAAGTCTAACGCACTCAACCTGTCAACACAGATAACGTAACTTATCACATGGAGTCGCCGCTAGAAAGCTGCGGCCTCCTTCAACCTAAATTCTGCCAAGCCCTCAGATCATGTCAAGTATAGACAGGAGGTCGGTCTGACACACAGACAGGCTGCTTAGCTGACCTTACTGAGTCCTTTAGAGACTCGAGAACTAGTGCCAAAAATCAGCAACCTAAGGAACTAAATACACAGGAGTATTTCAGGTGAATAAACTTTATAAAGTGTCTCAGCGAGGAGACCCTCCCTACTCCTGGGCCTTCCCTCTTGACCAATTTTACCTCTGCAGAAAAGCAGGGGCACAGGGCCTTGTCCCGCAGCGACACTATTTCAGGGACTCCAGCTAAGAGGCACAGTGGCCAGCTCGGCTGCGCCAGCCAGGAAAAGAGCTCCAGGCAGCCGGCTCTGCGGGAAAGGGGAAGAGGAAGGAGAAGGGGCCTCTTAATGAAGGAGCCTACCTTAATTCTCAGCTCTCAGAGATGCTGCTAAAAAAAACCTCACCCCAACAGCAAAAAGGTACAACTGCTGGAAAGTCGTCAGGCCCTGCTCCGTCAGCGACTCCACTCTCCAGGCCTCAGTTTCCCGATCTGTCCCTAACTCCCCGCGTAGCTGCAGAGTTAACTGAGAGGCTGGCGTGTGGAGGGCTCGGCCAGGCCCGAGACAAGCGTCCAGAGGTGTGGGATCCGAAAGGGGGAGAATCGGACGACCAGGCAGGAGGCGCTGCCTCCACCCCCGGAGAAGAGGGCCTGGGAGCTGCGGACTGGGCGGCGGACCCCAGGCCGGAGCGGTTCGGGGACTGAGGCGGGGTCCGCAGTCGGAGGCGTCCGGGGCGGGTGTTGGGGGCGGGTGTTGGGGGCGGGGGAGGGGGCCCGGCCTTACGTGCTTGAGGCAGCGCTCCTTGAGCTTCTCCACCGAGGTGTCCTCGGTGGCCTCCTCCAGCCACTCCGCGCCGTCGGACGCGCAGATGTGCAGCCGCAGCACCTTGCCCGCGAAGATCTTCTCCTCCTGCACAAACATCCCGCCGCCGCCGCCGCCGCAGGGGCCTGCGCCCGCCGCCCGGGCCCCTGAAGGTCACCGGGCAGGCGGGCGGGGCGGGGGCGGGGCCAGGCCGCCCGCGCGCTCCTTCGCTGGGACGCCGCCGCCCCGCCCCGGCTCCCGTCGGCCCGGCCGCCGTCACTCGCTGCGGCCTCAGCGGCCGCCTTGCTTCCGCCGCTGCAGCCGCCGGGGGCGCGCTGTCGCCGCCGCACCGGAAGTGCGTCACGGGCGCCCCTGACGCATGCCGGGAGATGTGGTTCTCAGGCGCCTCGCTCCCGCCGCCAGGGGCGCGCTGTGGCCACCGCAAAGGAGTGCGTCACGGGGCGCGCCGGGAGCATGCCGGGAGCTGTAGTTCTCTGGCCGCTTCATTGCTCCCCCACCTGCAAGCTCTTCCCACCCGGGGCACTCACCACGTGGGACCGTATGGGCTCTAAAAGTAAAATACACGCTGGATCCCAAAGAAGTAACGGGAAAAAAGAATGTAAGGCATCTCGATAATGTTTTCATATTGATTACATGTTGAAATAATATTTTGCATCTATTGGGTTAAGTAAAATATGTCATTAAAATTAATTTCATCTGTTTCTTTTAACCTTTTTAAGATAGAATTTTAAATTGCCTACATGGCTGCTGTGATATTTCTTGGAGTGCAGTGGCGCGATCTCGGCTCACTGCAAGCTCCGCCTCCCGGGTTCACACCATTCTCCTGCCTCAGCCTCCCGAGTAGCTGGGACTACAGGCGCCCGCCACCACGCCCGGCTAATTTTTTTGTATTTTTAGTAGAGACGGGGTTTCATTGAGGTCTCGATCTCCTGACCTCGTGATCCCCCCGCCTCGGCCTCCCAAAGTGCTGGGATTACAGGCGTGAGCCACCGCGCCCGGCCTGCTGTGATATTTCTTTTGGACTGCAGTGCTGTAGAACGGAGGCTCTCCAAAGAAATTGGCTTTAACAAGCCTAGGTCTCTCTGATTCACACGCAGGTCAGAGAGCCACTGTTCCCGCGAAGCCTAGGTTTGCGGGGCACCTAGAGGGGAGGGAAGCTGCCCTTGGTGCAGGTGGTGCCAGGACGCATTGTCGGTGGGGTGTGACAAAGAGTCTTTGTTTGGCCAAACTTAGGCAGCCTCCTAAACCTTCTACGCCATCTGTGTTCTTCCTTGTAAAATCCAGTTTTAGCGAACAGCCTTGCTAAGTGAGTTTAGCAAGAACTCCCAGCGTCTGTATCAGTTCACCCTCCATGTCTGGTCAGGTTCCTCCTCCCCCAGGTGCTGTCTGATAGCTCCAGCCTCTCTTCAGCAAGAACCCTGTCGGATCGGTTTAGCCAGAACCGCCCTCATCCCTGATGTTTTCTCCTATGAATTTTACATTCACTGACCCCACCCTGCTCCCTGGCTGTCAGTTTCCGCTTGCCCTTGCTGTCTTCGGAGCTGAGCCTGATCTCCCTCCGCACTGCAAGCCCCCATGGCAGTGGTCCCTGTACCTAGCGCAACGGTCCTGAATAATGTCTTTCTTACCACACTCCTAAATATGAATTTCGTAGTTCGGTTAGACCTGAAGCATTGACTGATCTGTACTCATTCATCCCATTCATTTAAAAAACCTTTACTGCGCAGAGATGAGTAAGGCACGGTACCGTTCTCAGAGCTTAGCAGTCTAACCCGGGAGGCTGTCTCCGCCTCTCGCCTGCAGGCTTTCGCTCTCTCCACACCATTTTGCACACACGTCCTCATTTTTCTCCTGATAATTCCAACCTTGTCCAGATTCCATGGGTCCAGCTCAGCACTTACTAATTGCCTCTTACGAGTGGGAGCCTCTGCTACTCAGTGAAAATACGGTAGTGATTAAGATCAGACACCAGGATACAGTCCTGGAATGGGGCATTTTAAACACAGGAAGCAGAAGTACCGACTGTTGGAGACCCTAGTGCAGGCGGTGGTAGTATCGTGGAGACTAGTGGAGGAGGAAGGGGAGGAACACCAAGGTGGTGAGCGGAGAGTGGGAGAAGCCAGAGAGCTTGGGGGGAGCCAGGTCAGAGCATTCAGACGTTGCTGTGAGAGCCACTAAAGGTGTGACCAGGTGGCAGAATGAATGGTGGTGGCTGTGGAGGGAACAGGGAAGAGGGCAGGGCATCCTTCCAGGGGAGCAATGTGGAGGGAGGGGAAAAGGAGACGGGGGCTTCCAGTGGCCTGTGGGAGGGAAGGCCAGCAGGACTGGAGGGTGTAGACACAAGAGTGAAATCAAGGATGACTTGAAGACTTCCAATGTGAGTGGCAAAGTGCAGGGCAGTGCCACCCTTTGAAGTAAGAGGCAGGAGGGGGAGGAGGAGCCATTGGCCAGGAAGGCATTGAGTAGCTTTGGACATGGGGACCTGGATGTGCTGGAGGCATTCACACGGAGGTGGCCTGGAGGCAGCTGGACCTACAGGACTGAAGTTGAGGAGAGAAGCCCAGGCTGGAGACAAACACTGGGCAGTCAGCCTGGGCCACGTAGCAAGACCCTCTACAAAAAATAAGAAAATTAATTAGCTGAGCATGGTGGTGCATACCTGTGGTCCCAACTACTCAGAAGGCTGAGGTGGGAGGATCACCTGAGCCCAGGAGGTCCAGGCTGCAGTGAGCCGTGATGGCACCACTGCACTCCAGCCTGGGCAACACAGCAAGACTCTGTCTCAAAAAAAAAAAAAAACAAAAAACAGGCCAGTCATGAGCACATCGTTGGCAGCTGGAACTAAGGGGATGCCCGCCCCCTTCACATGTAGAGGAGCCCATGAAGAAAACAGAGAAGTGTGGTACGAGGAAAGGTCCAAGAGTGTGGCTCCATGAAACACAGGGTGGAGAAGATATTGAGGAGAAAATGGGGCCCGTAAGAGAAGAACCAGAAATACCGCATCGTCTCAGGGAGTGTCTCCAGGGACTGGAAGGGGACTGGGGCCCAAGCCTGCCTGGCTGCAGATCTGGCATCTGCAGCTATGGTGATGCTTCGTAACAAAACCGCCCTAAAACTCAGCGGTTAAAACAACCAACAACTCCTCGGCACTTCTCACAAATCCACGGTGCTGCTGGCCAGGCCAGGCTGGGCCGAGCTCATGGGGCGCCTGCCATCGGCTGGCAGGTGGGCTGGGCGGGACCCCTAGGCCCTCAGCCTTGGTCTCACGTTCCCCAGTGAGTTCCCACGGGAGTGTATGGGGTCCACCACAGCATGTTTTTCAGCCTTTGCTCGAGCCGTGTTTGTTGATGTCCTCTGGACCAAAGGTAAAGAGGGAGGGGACAAAGTGACAGGGAAAGGATGGAGCCATGGGAAGCCACCAAGAGGCCACAGATGCACCTGTTCCACCTTCCAAGAAGGCTGGGGGAACAGAGATAGGAGGGCACCAGCTGTGGGGAGCCCAGCAGCATGTTTAGATTGGAGAGGCTGGGCGCGTTTCTGGGCTGAGCATGAAAGCGGGCAGAGGGCAGGCCGGGGCTGGAGGAAGGAGGAGGGGTGGGTGGCTGGGGAAGGGGCTGAGGCTAGGGCCTCAGGGGCATCCCGCTTGCTTCTGACAGGAAACATCTGAACCCCCCATCTTGGCATGAAACCCTTCCCCAGTCTCCCTGCTTCCTCCTGGCCACGGGCTTTACAGTGGAGGGACAGTGCCATCACCAGGACCCTGCAAGGGTCCACAGAGGCCACGCCGGCAAAGACTCAAGCCAAAGCTGGCCCGAGTCCTGGAGGGACCCCCGTGCCCTCCTGTGGAAGGATAGGAGGTTCGTGGTACTCTGAGGCTACTCCAGCCCCCACCCCGCTTCACCCACGAGGCTGTCAACGGACGGGTTCTCATTGTCTCGCCTCCTCTCACGGGTCTGAGGCTGTTTCCTATAACAAATTGCCACCAACTGGGGCCGAGGGGTGGTGCTTAAAACAACGGAAATGTATTCTCACCCAGTTCTGAAGGCCAGAAGTCTGAAATCCAGGTGTCTGCAGGCCACGCTCCCTCTGGAGCCACAGGGGAGGGTCCTTCCTGCCTCCTCCAGCTCTTGGGGACTCCGGGGTTCCTTGGCCTGTGGACGCATGGCTGCAGCCTCTGCCTCCGTCTTCATGCAGCCTCTCCTCTTCCCATGCCTCTCCTCCGTGTGCCTCCCATGAGGACTTGTCATTGGATTTAGGGCTACCCTCTTCTAGGATGATCTTCCCTGGAGATCCTGAACTAATTACATCTGCAAAAACCCTTCTCCCCAAATAAGCTCCCACTCATAGTTCCAGGGTTGGGACACTGAGGTGTGTTTATCAGGGCCACCACCATCCAGCCCACCAGAGAGGCTTCCGGCCGACCCCCGGGTACAGCTGGAGCCCAGCAGGGGCTCCTCAGTGGCAGGCAGTTCCCACCCTGCCGGAGTCCTCAGCCTCTGCCATTCTGATGCTGTCCTTTTTGAACAAGGGCTTATGCTCCTCCTCCCTCATTGTCTGTGTCAGAAGTGGCTTCTTGTGTCTCGCGCAGCCAAAGCACTCAGGCTGGCCTGGCCTGGCCCCTCACCCTGCCTCCTGAGTCTCAGTGAAGCCCCTCCCTCCCTCACGCCTGGGTTGCTCACGGCCGCACCAGCGCTTCTGCTTCTCTCCCTACCTCGAAGCCTGTGCCAATCCAGCCCATTCCTCAGAGCCCATTCCTCAGGCTCAGGGCCTCCTCCTCCAGGAAGCCCACCCTGGCTGCATCTCCTCTGGGACACCACACAGCACATCAAGTGTGTCAGCAAGGAGCCTGGAAGTTGCTGGAAGCCGCCTCCCTGTTGGTGGCAGCTCTGCCCCAGGCCGAGGTCAGCTGGCAGTACCTCCCCCCAGCCCCTGAATGCAGGAGAGGAACAGCAAGTACCAGAGAGGTCTGGGGGGAGTCCCTCTCCAGTGGCCAGGCTGTCCTGAGGCCTCCCAGACCCCATTCTCTGGGACTCCCTAGGGTGAAGGGCTGGCATGAAGGGAAGATCTCGGAGTCAAATGGCCCAGTCTGGCATCCACACAGTCTCTTCCCAGTCAAGAGGCCTGGACAGGTTCTTTTCTTTTTCCCTTTTTTTTTTTTTTTTTTTTTTGAGACGGACTTTTGCTCTGTCACCAAGGCTGGAGTGAGTGCAGTGGAGCGATCTCAGCTCATTACAACCTCTGCCTCCTGGGTTCAAGTGATTCTCATGCCTAGGCCTCCTGAGTAGCTGCGATTACAGGCACCACCCCCACAGTCTGCTAGTTTTTGTATTTTCA